ATATATATTTAATAATTCTTTTGTAGGATTTTAATTAGATAACTAACTATAAGTGGAAAAAATATCTTAAATTGAGTAAATGATTTGCACCCATTTTGGACAAGATTTCTTTCAAAGGCTCATTTCTTACTTGTTTAACTAAATATTACAAAAATATGAGTTGATTCAAAAGTCTCACCCTAAAAAACTGCTTGATCTTGTCTAAGTTGAATGGTACAACTATCTTTTTAGTGTCATTTTCACTTATATTTTCTTACACTATAGGAAAATCAATTAACTTATACTTAATATATTTAAGTTCAATGAGTAGAAATATAAAAACTAGAAAGGGGGTGGGAAAGATATATAATCTATATTAGAAGTGCAAATAGAGGAGTTGGAGAGAATATACAAAAACGAGCTAGAAAAATTTGAAGAACTTAGATATAAAGAAAGCCTTGATCACAAATTGATTCTCAATTGCATAAATGAAATCTTAGAAAGAAATATAAACCTTTACTTGAATCCACAACCATGATATATTTCCATTGTAAGTAAGATGCTTTGTAGCCAATGTCTTATTAACAAAGTCTAAGATGAATTAAAGGACATGCATTGGCCTATCAATGCAACTTATAATATGTTATATATAATTTTGCAAAAAGATTTCATGTGAAAGAGTTTCTAGTGGCTTAATTTCATTGTCAAAGTTGATTCTTCCATGATAAGCTCATCCATGCCCTTTGCTATATTTTTATTTATCAAAAACTTAAGATTTCACTGTGATTCAATGTTAAGGTCTATTGCAATTTCATTGTGATTATAAATTTATTGCATTATAATTTTTAAGAACCAATTAAGATTAATAAATGTAAGAAATTAATTAAAAAGTATAGTATTGAAGAACAATCTACAAATAATTATTTGAAATTAAGGACATCAGATAGGAGACAAAAGAGTTGAGATGGGATATAAGAACATGGATAAGAGACAAGATTGAAGAAATCATGATGAGAATGGACAATGACAATAAAGTTGAGAATGTGAAAAAGGAGAGTGGGAACTGGATTTGTAGTTAGTACATTACCTCATGGCTTACAATCCACCAAATAACATCCATCCTTCTTTTGACATTCATCTCTAACCACCAAATAACATTCATCCCTCTTTCCACATTCATTCTTGACTACCAAAAAAAATCCATCCATTCTTCAACATCCATCATTTTCACCAAACGACATCCATCCCTTCCACCAAATAACATCCATCCTTTCTATCAAATGGCACACATCCCCTCTTTATACATCCATCCTTCCTTTGACATCCATCTTTGACTACCAAAAAACGTCTATCTCTCCTTCAACATCCATCCCTTCTACCAAATGACATCCATCTCTCCTTCGACATCTATCTCTTCTACCAAATGACATCCATCTCTCCTTCAACATCCATCCTTTCTATCAAACGACATCCAATCCTTCCACCAAATGATATACATCCTTTCTTTTGACATCCATTCTTCCTTTGACATCCATTCTTCCTGTGACATCCATTCTTCCTTTGACATCCATCTCTGATGTTGTGATATAATACAACTATATAGTGAAACTATAATCAAAATTAAATTTCTAATTAATATCTAATTATCTTGGTTCAATAATAATTCAAGGTATCTAAACATGGCTTTTACAAAAGCCTCTTAGTTTATTTTCTTATCTTAATAGTTAGTAAGTTGAAGGTTAGTTAGTACTTTTATCTTCTAGGCTATAAAGATTTCTTTACTACCTTAGAAAGACCATAAATTGATAAATCAAGTTAGAAGAGGTAAATAATTAATATGGTTGATACTAAGGTTAAGTTCAAAGTATGATTGGCCTAAAAAATCCTTAGGATAGGTTAGATTAATACTCAGGGGTCGACCATTTATGAGACAAGGTCGAAATCAAACATCTAGCCACTGAAACGACCACCTAGGGCAAAATAGGGTTTTATTTGAAGATCAAAGATTAGGATTTGAGAGTTAGGTTGAAGCTTCTTCGAGAGACATAAGATTGGTTTTTGTAGGATTTATTTGGACTTTGCAATTTTTATTCAAAGTCAGGATTTATATTGGCAACTTGGAATTTATGCAATGTAATTAGGGCTAGCACTCTTAGCTAATTCATAAAATTGATGTAACATCTATAGTTCAAATTTTGATATTGTTTGGTTAATTTAGTGTGCTAAGTGTGTATAAAATTTTGTAATAATCCAACAGTGTAATTAAAAGATATCTAGGTTTTGGTATAAGAATATACCAGAAGTTAGTAGTTTGGAGTTGGATAGGATTTCTATGATATCTAAAGATCTACTAATCAGATCAAGGTGAGATTTGGCATGGTGTTGGAAGACTTACAGACCTAATTTGAATTGAAGTTAATATTTGAATAAGGAGAAATTATTGCTGGAACGTTTGTATCAACTTTCAAGTTGGTGGCCAAATAACATCAATATGGTTTTTGGACATTTTCTCACAATTTGTAAGTTGGATTGACATGAATTCTTATTAAGCACATAGAAGACTTATAGTGGCATTTGTGTGCAAAATTTTGCTCCAAGTGAACGATTAGATCTCGAGCTACAATTTGCTAAAGCTTGCTGATTAGAATTAAGGTTTGCAAAGAAAGTTCGAAATTACCTAATTATTGAAGTAATAAGGCAATTGGAATTTATGCATGGTTGAGATTGCTAAAAAGAGTATTTTTAAGCACTTTGTATTGGATTTAAGCACTTTTGAATTAAAGTTCAAATTACATTCTTCTTATAAGAGTGAAACATATTAGGATTTTTGGATATTTGTAAAACACAATCCTACCTTCTACAGCCAGATGCTTGGTGCATTCCCAAATAGGACGACATGTAATATGACATCGACCACCAAAAAACATCCATCCTTCCTTTGACATCCATCTCTCTTTTAATATCCATCACTCTTTTAACATCTATTTTTTCTTTAACATCCATCCTTCTTTTAACATCCATCTCTTCCACCAAATGACATACATCTCCTTCTTTGACATCCATCCTTCTATCAAATAACATACATCTCCTCTTTTGACATCCATCCCTCCTTCGACATCCATCTCTCCTTTGACATCCATCCTCGACCACCAAGAAACATCCATTCCTCCTTTGACATCTATCTCTTCTACCAAATGATATACATCCTTTTTTCTAACATCCACCATTCTTTTAACATCCATCATTTCCACTAAATGATATCCATCCCTTCTACCAAATGACGTACATCTCCTCCTTTGACATCCATCCCTCCTTCGATATCCATCCCTGACAATTAAGAAATATCCATTCTTCCTTCGACATCCATCTCTTCTACCAAATGATATACATCCCTTCCTTTGATATTCATCCCTCCTTCAACATCCATCCCTTCTTCTACCAAATGACATACATCCTTTCTTCTAACATCCATCCCTCTTCTAACATCTATCTTTTCCACCAAATGACATCCATCCCTTCTACCAAATGACATCCATCCCTTCTACCAAATGACATACATCTCCTCCTTTGACATCCATCCCTCTTTTGACATCCATCCTCGACCACCAAGCAACATCCATTCCTCTTTCGACATCCATCTCTTCTATCAAATAACATACATCCCTTCCTTTGACATCCATCTCTTCTTTGACATCTAATCCATCCCTTCTACCGAACAACATCCATCCCTTCTACCAAACAACATCCATCCCTTCTACCGAACAACATCCATCCCTTCTACCAAACAACATCCATCCCTTCTACCGAACAACATCCATCCCTTCTACCGAACAACATCCATCCCTTCTACCAAACAACATCCATCCCTTCTACCGAACAACATCCATCTTTTCTTCGACATCCATCATTGACTACCAAGAAACATCCATCCCTCCTTTGACATCCATTCCTCCTTCGACATCCATCCCGGACCAAGCAACATCCATCCCTCCCAAACCAAACAACATCCATCCCTCCTTCGACATCCATCCCGGACCAAGCAACATCCATTCCTCCTTCGACATCCATCCCGGACCAAGCAACATCCATCCCTCCTTCGACATCCATGCCGGACCAAGCAACGTCCATCCCCGACCACCAAGCAACATCCATCCCTGACCACCAAGCAACAACCATCCCTTCTTCGACATCCATCCCCGACCACCAAGCAACATCCATCCCTCCTTCGACATCCATTCCTCCTTCGACATCCATCCCGGACCAGGCAACATCCATCCCCGACCACCAAGCAACATCCATCCCTGACCACCAAGCAACATCCATCCCTGACCACCAAGCAACATCCATCCCTGACCACCAAGCAACATCCATCTCTGACCACCAAGCAACATCCATCCCTGACCACCAAGCAACATCCATCCCTGACCACCAAGCAACATCCATCCCTGACCACCAAGCAACATCCATCCCTGACCACCAAGTAACAACCATCCCTTCTTCGACATCCATCCCCGACCACCAAGCAACATCCATCCCTCCTTCGTCATCCATCCCTTCCACCAAACGACATCCATCCCTTCCACCATATGACATATATTCCCTCCTTTCACATCCATCCCTCCTTCGACAGCATCCCCTCCCACTGAACGACATTCATCCATTCCGACTCCACAAGCTTAAACGGAAAAGCCAGTTTGAAGAAGCATCCGCGAGAATTTTAGTTTAAATCAGTGGGCCCGTCACTGCGCTAGATTCTGTGCAGCTTTTGTGATGCAGCTTTGTTTGTTTTTGTTTGTGTGTTTGTGTGTTTGTGTGTTTTTTTTTTTTTTTTTTTTTTTTTTTTTAATTCTTTTCTTTTCGCAGTGTGGTCCTTGTGACGATGGAGCTGATTCTCACTGCTTCGCTCTATCTCTCTCACTTTCTCTCACTCTCTCGTGATGATCCGACATCGCCGATCCCCTCTCCAGCTCCGTAATGCACTTTTCCTCGCAATTCCGTCATGTGTTCATGTTGCGGTGTCTCAGAGAATGGAAGTGGGGCCTCGTGTGAGAAGAAGTAGCGAGTTGGGGTGCTTGGATCGGACGATGGGGGAGGAGGAGGAGGAGTAGCGACGTCTTCTCCACTGCTTGCTTGCTTGCGTCTCAGCTTTGTCACCACAACATTGTGAGCGCGTGTGTTGTTCGCGTGCTTTGATTGTGTAAGCATTCCATGTAGCTGAATCTCCCTTGGCTCTCGTGAGCCTTGCCGTCGCAGTGGTAGCTTTGAGTAGGCATTCGCTGAGGTTCTTTGCGCGTGAGGGTGAAAGTCCTTGAGGTTTGCATTTCATGACTTGTGGATTTCGACTGATATATGATTTTGTGTTTGTACTTGTGTTTATTTGTGTTTGTTTTTTTCATTTATTTTAAATTTTTTCTGGATTTGTGCCCTGTCTTGGATTGAAAGATGAAGCTGTAGTTGCATGCAGGGGTATTGTGAAGCTCTAGTAAGGTGGTGCAGTGCTGGACGGAGTCTGGTGACGGAGCTTTCCAAGTGAAGGGGTCAGATTAGGGTTTTTGATGCCACTATATTGCTGCTTGCGTGCCCTTAGAGTGTAAATTGTGTCCCAGTTCGGTTCTTAAGTAGGTACCCTTGGGCGCTTCGCAATTGTCTGCCGCAATGCTTGCATTTGTAGAACTCTCGAGTTTGGGTTCTTGGAATATAATCACTCGAGGAATTACGATTCAGTCAGGGGTAAATTTAAGCTACAGTTAATATTCTTTGGCGCTAAATACAAGTAAAGATTCTTTGGATTCTTATGTCAAATGTCGGCATCGTGCAGTCGGAACTTTTGTTCTTGTTATTCAAACTTAGCTGGACCACATTGCGTAAGGTGTTCGGTTCGCGTGTCAGAAAGAAGAGACGCTAAGGGATAGAGAGAGATGTCATGAACGTGGAGCTGCAGTGAGCATTCGTTTGTTGTTGATTTGAGGAGAACCCTCGACGATAATGCGTTTTGTGGTATGTTTGCCGTAGAACGTGACAATTCTTTTCTTAATGTTACAAATAACTGCGCTCTAGCGTTTGGTTTCGGATATATAGGGCAAGATGCAGCCTACGTCTTCCGTGTTGTTTATTGCAAGGCATGAGGAGTACAAGTTCATGAAATGGTAGTGTGGGAGCCCTTATTTTATAACCGAACATCTGTTTTATTTTGCTGTCCACAGTCATTTTGGACGCTGAATACAAGTAAAGATGGACGAAGGTACATATTGGGCGAGGGTTCAGCGCGTTTTTAACATGATGGACATCCGGACAGCATTTGTAACGGACGCCGAAGTCGACGAGACCTTGCAGCTCTTGAAATCTATTGAGGGTAAAGATCTCGCCGACACAGGCATCAGCTCCGAGCAGGTTGAAGCTGCACGCAAGATTAAAGATGCGGTTGTCCATCCCGACACGGGTGAAAAAATCTTCCTTCCGCTTCGTGTGTCTTTCATCATTCCGTGCAACCTTGTCGTTGACACTCTGATGATCTCGGCCAGGGGGATCAAGCAGAATGTCGCTGCCCAGTGGCTGAACCAGACATACAACTGCCTGCATTACTACGCGAACCGGAATGCCTCCAATCAGGAAAGCGTTCGTAAGATCTTTGAGGCATACGTGGGAGCGACTGCGAGCTCTGTTGGAGCTGCAGTTGGCCTGCATTCTCTTCTGGACAAAGTGCCTCCTGGCAGACCATGGTACCTGCTCTAGTTCCTTGGTATTACAGTGGTCTTCATTTGCTGATCTTCAAGTGTTATATTTTAGGTCACGTCGAGATTCCATTAAGTTCAGTAAGTCCTAATTTTCTAGCTTTCGAGCATGAGTGCATGAAATGATTGCTTCCTGACTTGGCAGTGAGTTTCGAGGACACTAAATTTGTACTCTTGTTGCAGGGCAGGTATAGCTCGAAGGATTGTCCCCTTCTGTGGGGTTGCAGCAGCAGACGTGTTGAATATCGGCATCACGCGGAGGGATGAGTTCCTAGAAGGAATCAAAGTGTTCGATGACAATGGAGATGAGATTGGGCAGAGTAGACAGGCGGGTGCTCGTGCTGTTAGTGCTTGCATTGCAGGACGCATCTTTGCAGCTGCTCCAGTACTCGTGGTTCCACCCCTTGTCATGCACAGGTTATTCATTGAAGCTCCTCCATGCATAAATTCATGTAGCAGAGCCTTCATGCCCTCACCAAGTTTTGTCCAGTCAAGACCTGAAATAGATTTGTTTGCTTCCTGGCAGGTTGGAGCGGACGGCCTTCTATTCTAAACATCCGGCCTTGAGAATACCCACGCTGATGGCCATGGTAGCGGCCTCAATCCAAATCAGCGTTCCTCTCAGCTTTGGTATCTTCAAGCAACAGGCTTCCGTCAGCGTTGATAAAATTGAGGATTCCTTCCACAACCGGGTCAATCGCTTCGGTCAACCTGTGACTCGGGTCTTCTACAACAAGGGTGTGTGAACATCTCTTCGCTGTACAGACAGACTTTTACGTAAATCTGGATTTTTTCCAGGTGTGTAAATACCCGTGAAGGTGCATGTTTTTCGGGAAGTGATATGAAGAATTTGCTCAACTCAGAATCACAGCGCTGGGGAGCGACTTATTTCTGATTCAGCCTTTCCATTGTGAAGCTCTTGCTCAAGTGGATCACTCTTGGTGCCCCTTCTGAAGATACTCTCCTACTGCAGGAGATGAAATATAGATGAATGTAGAAGCATCTTTTGGTATGAATGAAGTCGGAGTTTCCGGTTCTCAGGCAGAGGAAGGACTTTGTTGACCAGGTTGTTTGTGACAGGTTGCTGAGGTGAACTCCAGTTTTTCACCGATTCGAATAACCGAGAAGTACATGATAGGTCAAATGATATTGAATGATTGTATTCTTAAGCAACAATTCATTTTATTTATTTTTTGTTTATTACATTGTCGACTTGATGCTTCAATCAGAAAAGTTTTGAGCGTCTGAAGGTTGGTATTACTATGCCTGTGAATTTTTACAACATTGTCAATTAGAATTTCACGAATCACACGTTCTGATTGAATTGAAAGTTTTTGAATTCATTTCAAAATGAATACGGTTGAAAATGAAATTATATTATAAATAGGTTTCGAAACCCTAACTTCAATATTGAAGCTGTGGCTTGTTTATGAAGTATCGACTGAACTTAGTATTCAAAATTATTTAATGTTTTTATTCCAGAGTATATATATATATATATATATATATAGAAAAATTTGTATCTGATGCAGTTCGAATGATATTGTTGAATCGTACTGATGTAATTCTTTGAAATGGAATAAACCCTAACGAAAATAACATGAATCAATAAGTTTGAACAGGATATTTATTAATGGATAACGTATTGATAGCTCAATCGATAGCTCAGAGCAAGGAAGGAAAATCCGAAGTTCTATCTAAGAATCCAGTTGGGCCATCTCAATTAGCCCATCAATTGTTTTTACAATACATGGAAACTTTAAGGCCAGATCAGAAAAATTACGACGTCAAACTCGAAACGCAAAAATATCATGTTTGGTCAAAGAATGCCCAGAAAACCTACCACTAGACGCAAGTGGTTCTAAAAGATATTTTCCCCTCAGAATGACACAAATCAATACAAATTTTGTTCTTTCATCTTCGGATTATCACACATCGATTCACGTAGTTACACCGTCCACAACGAAGCTGATGAGGTTACTGTTTTGTCTGTTACAAAGTATGAAACTTGTTTTTACCATTGATAGGGTGGGGTGTTTTGAACCCAGTTATGAAGGTCTTCATAGTTCGGCGTTGAAGACAAAAGAACAAAACAAAAGAAAACAAAATTTTAAATAAAAACTAATATGTAAGAGGGTATAAATTCTAATACACTGAAGAACTGAACTAAAATGGATATTTCGGAACGAAAGCAAAGTAAACCTTACACAAGCCGCCCTGTGTTCCTGGGCAATTCCACGATGCAGCTGTTTCTTAACAAAAGATCCAGCAACTTAGAAACTGGAGAGAAGGAACTTTGCAGTTTCGTCTCCGAGATGGTGGAGTATACGAAACCACTTCACCACCGACAGCAATGCTTTGAAAAACCCGCGGAGGGAATATTCGGACCAGGGATCGAACAGTACGTTTATCCCGAAGATCTGCAAAACCTGGATCTCACGATGAGCCGAGCTCACAGTGTGCGAGAATCCATGTTTGGGCCTGAAAGCAAGTACCCAGTTGAGCATCTACACAGAGAGGATGAGATGTTTCCGGAAATGCCTGAAGAGAAAGACGTTGTTGAGATTGTGAAAGAACGACTGGATCGTTTGAGAAAACCTTACGAACCTGAAGAGGTTGTGGAAGGGGTCGGCGATGTCTTGATCTGGTACAAGACAAGCCCGACGGATGAGACGCTGTTGCTGCTGAGAGCACATTCCCGAATGCTGAGCAAGTACTGCAACGCGTTTGAGTCGCTGTTGGAATCGGAGATGAGGGACATGAGTTTACGGGAATATCTGGATCGGCAGTTTCTGCTGACAAGAAAATTTGGTGGGTACATTTCTCTTCTAAATATTGTACAAGATAAGATGGCATTTTCATGTTTATTTTACTGACGGCTTTTAATAACATGCACCTAAACCTTAGTGTCAACTTTATGTTTGTTTTCCACGTTTTGGTATCTGTTAGATTTCTCTCCACTCATATTTGAACTCCTTGACACGAGAAAAATAGAGGTTGCTTCAAGCACAGCCTTAAAGAAGCAAGGTTTGACCGAATGTTTTGTTTGTTGCCTGGTGTTTTTTAGATGAAAGCAGTGTGAGCACAGAGTATGAGGCGGAGCCTTCGCTTGGACGCTGCAACCTTCGACATCCCGAGAAACCAGTCGTGGTACCACAAACCGTCGCCGAAGCCTTTCTTGACTTCTGTGAAGCACGAAACAATGCGTCGTTGCCTCCGCCATCCGGGTTGCCAGTATTCACTAGCGATGAACAGATACTGCAGCAGAAGATATATCAGGGCGCTACTGACATCGTGAAAGAAAGCCGCAGGCTAGTTGACGAAATGCAGAATTTGGACCTTCCGCTAGAGCTTGGAGAACAGTTTGAGAAATTCGCTGGAATTGTGAAACAATGTATTCCGGTCACTCCAGACACTGGAGAATCAGATCACAAACCCGAAGAAGAGGAAAGGACTTCAGAGCCTTATCAACGAACGATCCGCATCAGTTTCGCCGATTGTGCTCCCCCAGGATGGGAAAGACCCTCGGAGCGAGACAGTGTCATAAATCCCCGTCGAAGCACGTTATCAAGGCGTGACAGTCATGCCTATGCAGCCCTTCAGGACGACACCCTTGTGAAAGATGGAAAGGCGATTCGAGCCAGTGAAGCTGAATCTATGCTGGTGGGTGGAGTGTTACCGGAAGAACACCGGCCCGATCCAGCTTCCGATGCAAATCTAACGACAGAAAGTTGGACGCGGGGAAGCCTTCGAAAAGGGAGTAAACTACGCGAAAGTTTGCTGCGTGGAATGCTCATTGGGTCACAAGTATGAATTCCACAATCACAAACCAGAATCTCAGTACACAGCGAAAAAAAGATTATGAATCGAAAACTGCAGTAGTATATTAGAAGCATTACCGACACTTACTGTGTTTCATGCGCAGATTGACGCTTCAAAGGAAGAAGTAGAACCCAACGTAGGCAAAGCGGAGGAAGAACTAGTCGAAGAAAGAACACACGAAGAACGGACGTTCTTCGCGGATTTCCTCGACACATTGCCATCCACGCCCTCCGACTCAGAACCCACAATCGAGCCTCCGAAGCCACCTCCCACGTACGGTCTCAAAAAGACCGGATGGGCGGCCTGCGGAGTCCACGCCGTGATGGAATACATGTACACAGAGCGGTGCCACATCCCGTGCGCCGACCTCCCTCACGTGTTCCACGTCGCAAACGAGCTTCTCCTCACCGACATCACCGAAGCCATCACACTGATCCCGCTGGTTTCGTGCCTTCGCACTGCGCTGATGTCGGAGGCGAACCGAGCGGCTCTGCTGGAATTGTGCATCCTTGGCGATTCCGCGGAACGTCCAGGTGTGTGTCCATTTCAAGATCGTCTTCGTTTAGTTTTTCTTCCTGTTTGCGTAGGATGTCGAAACTGATGAGACGATGTCGGTGTGTTTTTTGAGCGTGGACTTGTCTATGAGCGGCATTCGATGTGTGACGTTTGAAGGTGGGAACAAACTGGGCAGCCAGATTTGAGAACACTTAAGAAGATGTGCGAGTCGTTTGAATATGGTTCCTGCTTGGAGCGGTTGCCGTATACCTTCACTCTGCACACCGGCTACATTGTCGGTAGAAAGTACGAATTCCTCGAGGAAGGCTTCTTCGAATATGACCTCATTAAGGTATCTGCACACATGTTCTTATCAGCGAAGAATCCATGTTTTTATGTACAAACACAAGTGTATTGAGTGGTTTGAAGTTTTACTGAATTGAGCTCAGTTTGTATGATAACACAATAGGTAAACGTGCTGCGGATTCCTCAACCTACGATGAAAGTGTTCAATAGAATAGTTGAGCAGGCGCACCATTTTGTTATTACCAAACCACATTCGGAATGGGTTGATACGAAAGCTAGAATTGATCCCTCCACGCATAATCCCCATAAGGTGAGTTTATTCGACCTTTTTGCTCGCTGCTTACTAATAGGTTCTTACTTCGTTTAGCTGTAAGTAAGTTTCAGTATTCAATCTTTTTGGATATAAAGTGGTATAAATAGTATGGAAGTTTACATGTGAAATACTTGTGTTACATGAATGCAATGTGTAGCTCAACATGAGCATAAATAGAAACCGGGATAAAGGATGGTTCATAACTGTATTCGGACCAAACATTGCGGAGGAGTGTTACAATTTCTACAAACACATTCAAAACTGGACTCATAAGCCCATGCAGTTGGAAACTTTCAGTATCCGGATGTGCATGGGTTTTCTTGTTTGTCCAATCATGCAAACTTTAATTGCTAAGGTTGGCAACATTTTCAAACTTGAAATGATATGGAATGAACAAAACAATAATCTCTCTCTCTCTCTCTCTCTCTCTCTATATATATATATATATGTCTGTGTGTGTGTTGAAAACTTTCACTTCAATCTTTCTATTAGTTATATTGAACAATAGTTTTGTTTTGTGTGTGTGTATATATATATATATATATATATATATATAACCCACACGCACAAAAAACTGGAAAATATCTTGCTTCATTTGTACAGTCTTTTCCAAAAGAAGTGAAAGTGGAAGAAGTTAGAGGAGGTGGCCATTTCATTGGGGGAGAGATACATGGAAATTCGTTGATCTTTTCTGGAAAGCCACATCATTTGTTAGCGGCTGCAATAGCCATCCCTCCAAATTTCATGGGAAGAACATCTTTTCGAGTTTCTTTTCCTTCGAAGCCAACCTTCATCAAAATCTTTTCCGTGGCTCAAAAGTTTGGAGTGGATCTTGAGATGAATTGTGTCTATTTACTGAAGAATCTGACAAACATCATTCACGCTCTTGAATTTTTCATCAACGTTTCTGATGAAGCATTTATCCCTTGGGATGTGCCTCGAGAGATCATAGAGCTAGTCGCACCTTCTGACCCATTCTAGATGCTGTGAAATCGAACTTTGGAATTGTTAATTTTTCTATCGATTATTTTGATTTCTTTACTTGAATGTAGGGGAAAATTTTGTTCGAAGAACTAGTGTTTAGTTTGCATCATTCTGTATATGCGACACCAAATGATCTGTAAAAAAACTTTTAAACACTCGAACTAATTTTACAAAATAATAGTCAGAGATACATAATTTATATATTAGAATTGAGTAGTAAGTTTTGATTGCTTCACAGCCTCTTTGTTGTGTCTGTTGATGCTGTTCACTGTCTATCGAAATGGCTATCGTAATTCTGAATACAACTTGAGGAAGCTCCTCAGAGTATTTATGCTACGTGCTACGTGTTTATAGTCTATGTTTTCTTGGGTTTTTATAAACAAACAAACTCTTCTAGCAAACTATTTGAAGGCTTTGAAAATTGATCAGGTGCCAAAAACAACAGCATTGCATGAAGAGAAGGTGAACTGAACTACCTTAGATCTGGCAATTTCGGCTCAAGGCTATTGTTGGAATTCAACCTAGACTGGAATTCAAGCTGCTGCTAGATTAATGTTGCCATCTACTCCATGCATTTCCTACGACGGTGGATATGTGGACCTTCCCGAGGGTCTAATGTTGCAACGTCTGAATAAACAGCAAAGGAGGATTTACAGAGCTTACTCCACATGGTGCAGCATATGCATCAGCAGCTACGGAAACAATCCCACATGACAGCGCTGATCAGCTGCAGCCAGGGTGATGGATCTCCAGCAACTGGTTGCTGAAGAGAAAGACCCACAGGGAGAGGTAAACAAGGGGCATGTGTCGGTATGAGGCCAGAAACCAAACAGCGACTGAATCTTCGGAGATTTTTGAGAATTGTTTTCTAGTTTTAGGGGATTGTACAAGAATCTTGACGCTAATGAAGAGCAGTGAGGTCTTCGATTCGCTACGTGTTCGCAATCTAGGCGACGTGCTGCAGTTGAAGTTCGCATCGAACATGAAGTCCGCCGTGTTGACGGTGCCGTGGCGGTGGCGGTGGCGGTCACCGATGACCGACATTGGTTATGGGTCTGGTTCAACTTTGCCCTACTTCCGTTTTGTGTCAAACCTCGTGACTCATTCATCTATAAAATGAAACTTAAGGATTAAAGTCATTCATCGATCTGGCTTCGGCGAGACCCTGGGGGACTCTGAACCCAAACCCCTCGCGAGCACCGACAAAGGTCGGCGAGTGTGAGATTGTGAAGACGATGGCGAAGATGCCGATTTCCGAGCACATTTTGCCCATTCTAGAACCCCATTTGCAGAATCGAGGATGGGGTTCGATCGGTGGTAGCTGAAGCGAGTGGTGGCCCTGCACGTTGAGATCAAACGGAACCGTTACGGGAGCTTGTTGTGCTGTGCTGTGCTGTGTGTTGCATTGTGTTGTGCATTGGGGGGAAGTTGTGAGCAATGGGCGAGGATCGGGAGATGGAGTTCGTCGACTGCTATGCCTCCTACAGGCCAAGGTTGATATGGGACCCGAGAGTGAGTGACTATCTCAGTCAAGCTTACGGCCAACAACACTTCGCCCAAATTTCCGAGGCCCTCACGTAAGTTTGGCTTTCTTCAAGGGTCCTGTTGATTGTAGCGTTCCGTTTTTGTGGCGGAATTTGTGCGCTGCAGTGGCTTCAGATCGGTTTTCGTGAGTTATGTGGACTGGGAAATGACCCCATTAGCAAGTATGGTTACCTCCGCCAGTCTTCTTCTCTCTCTCTCGATGTAATTTGGATGCTAATTCAAACGCGGAACTTTGAGTCAGGGGTTGCAGGGTTGAGTATGGAAGAGCGTTTCTCTTGAAGACGCTGAATTCCTGATAGTGAGTGGAAGTGGTGATGCTTTGTTTTAGCTTATATTTCTGTTCTGAAAGCTACTCTCAAATTTGGTCAATGCATATCCAAGCGAAAGAGTGATGGACGTGTCGGCATTCGGACGCTATTTTATGTGCAGTGCCGCACAACTATGATCTTTATAGTTTGGAATTCCTCATAAGTTTACAAAATTGCAGAGCCTTCAAGGTTTAGAGTTTAGGCATTATGCATAATGCGTCCAACGTTGGGATTTGGATTGCTAGTCCGTTGTGACAATGCTTCAATTTTCATCCTTGAGTTGATCATCAGCAGACCCTGCTACTCATCTCGAGGTTTAAGGTTAAGGTATTAACGGATACGTTTAGGGACTCCTAGAATTCGGAGTAAGTTGTTTGGTGATATTTCTCGGTTCTTGTATTACAATCCTTAAAGAGGTGTCAGAAAATTCTGTTTCCCAAAGTCATATGTTCATTTTCATGTGCATGAAAGTTGCACTCATATGTCCCCTGTTCTCATGGTTCAGTCGACCTTCAGTTTACTCGTGTGTTCGAGTCAACACTCTCCAAACGACTACCAAAGAGGTCATCAAGCAGCTCACTCGCTATGTGTTGCAACAACAGAATGATAACCAGAGTCGGATGTTGAAACAAACTGAGTTCCAGGAAAAATCCAGTGAGGCAGGTGATCCTCACTGTGCTGAGAAAGCGGACGTCACAGGAACGAAGTTATCACGCATTCAAGTTGGGGGCACAATCTCTGCTGAATCAACATCAGAGGAGGACGAAGGATCAGAAAGTTGTGGTATATGCTTTCAGCATGATGTCCTAGACAATGTGGTAATGGTCAAGGGAAAAGGCCCTTGTTCCATCGATTACACAACTGTGCGTGGGGAAGGAGGAGTACTGAAGGAGGTGGTTGTAAGCCGAAAATGTGCAGAAGCTGTTCTTCGCGGCGCCCACGTATGCAGAATCTATGATACTCACAAATAAGCTATCACTTGTCTCCTTTTTTTAAAAGAGGGTCCGATTGACGGTGTAGTACTGATTTCAAAATTTTCAAATCCTAGTGTAATGGCGTTGATTTTGCAGAAAACGCACAGAATTCAACCTACTTTATAAACAAAAGTATGACGAAGTTTGGCTTGTTTTTTCTGTTCTTTTTCCTCGTCTCACCATCTGTAGTGAACTGTCTTACTTCTTTCCCTCTCTGTTACGCAGGTATTTGTGCCCGGTGTCCTGGCTTGTAGCGGATGCATTGAGAAGGATGAACTTGTTGCTGTGTCTGTGGCTATGGAAAGGTCAGATGGAGAAGGGGGTTGGTTCGTAGGAGTTACTCGTGGCACCACACTGTCTTCTGAGCATGCAAAGTCACGTGAGAATGCCTTAACAATCTTCTAGACCTTCCATGGATGTGGCTGGACTCGACCCGGTCTGGTAGTTTTACATGTGTAGGCCACTCTCAATTCCCATGGTAGTGGAACATTTTCAGACTTCGAAATCTTATGCTTCTCAGAATAAGTTTAGCTTGGTGCCCAGTTAATAATTTTCAGCCATGGTGGTTCTCGTAGAATTCAACGATGAAGACAGAAGTGGTTGGTTTATTGGAATTGGCCGCGCCATGATGACGAGAGCAACCCTTTTCAGAGAAGCAAAGGGTGTAGCAGTTGAGATGGTCCATCGAGCGTATAACCTTCCACCGTTTTCTGGTACTTAACAATGCTTATTGTTGAATGTGTCTGTGTTCCTCATCAGATAGTTCAAAAGTTTTGTAGTTCGATTAACGCATTTACGCCTGGCTTCTTCATTTACTCCATGAAGATTGGACCTAGAAAGTGCGTTTGCTTTCTGTATGTTTCTTCAGTGGTTTGATGATCCTATCCTTTTGATTGCAGGCGTGCTCAGTGGTGACATCTTTCTTCAAAATTTACCAAGTGTTGTTGCTACCCACGTTCTTGGTACGTTTTTGATTAATGTGTGAAGACTAGATGTGACATTACTTTTCTTGAGAAAACTTCGAACCTACTTCTTTTTTTATTTTTATTTTTTATTTTAAATCTTCTTTAGTTGGTCAGTGTTAGAGTACCAAGATTTTCTTTGTTAATTTTCAGATCCGCAGCCAGGGGAGCGAATCCTGGACATGTGCGCCGCGCCTGGTGGAAAGACGACCGGAATCGCTACACTCATGGGGGACAAGGGTGAGGTTATCGCACTTGATCGATCACATAGTAAGGTACATATGATTTGACTTGTAACTTTTTATTTGGTAGACCAGGAAGTGTAGTAGCCTTGAGACTTCGGTAGTTCTCCTTAATTGTAGTCATGCTAGGGTTGAGAAATTATGGTAGCTTTAAATGAGTTCATTACTTCAAAACTGTAGGGAACCTTAACGGGGATATTGAACTGCTGGATTTAGGTCTTAGATATTGTTCGTTTGGCACAAGAGATGAAGCTAACTTGCATTCAAGCAATCAAGATGGATGCTCTAAAGTCTGTACGAGTAGAAAGCACTCCAGATCGAATTTCCCAGGACAAACCACTGGGTGAAGTTTCAAACACCGCCAGACTTACTGAAGCAGTAGCGATTGATGATATTATAACTAATTCAACCTCGGAGGAACCTAACATAATTGAAGAATGCTCAAAGAAACATCTGCGTGAGGGTGAGTATTTTAGGCAATTCATTCACCTCATTGATTTTCAGAAGGAAATTGGCCACTGTATCCACCTGTGCATTTGACAAATATTTTGTTGAATCACCCTTCAGTCTACCTTTTAGCACTTTTATGACAATCGCTGCTGTATGTGATAACGGTGCTTTCATTTTTTGTTCCACAGAATCTGCTCAAATTTTGGCTGAAAATGTTGGTGGTTCAAAACGCGATGAGGCCTCAACCATTTCATCTACTAGACCTAACTCAGAAGCCACACCAGCGAAAAAGTTTAAAGACGATGGGGCTTATGCAAGCCGGAAAGCTGCTCGGAAAGAAGCCCGAAAGTTGAAAACTGAGCTTAAAAAGGCTGCTGAACCCGAAACGCCTTACAGAAACGGATTTGCTCCTCAAAGTTTTGATCGAGTACTCTTGGATGCCCCTTGCTCAGCTCTGGGTTTAAGACCACGGTTGTTTGCAGGACAAGTGAGAGTCTTTACTGAGAAGCTATTAATTCATGTGTCGTTTATTGTGTAATATTTGAATGTCACTTATTCGGTTGTGAAGGCAACGTTAACGTTTGTTTATTATCTTATCCACATAATGTGCAGGAGACATTAGATGGCCTGCGGCAGCATGCAAATTATCAAAGAAGGTTAATTGATCAAGCTGTACAGTTGGTTCGACCGAACGGTACTCTTGTCTATTCCACGTAAGCTTTACCCTACACAAATGTCTTATATGTGCTATCACCGAATGTATTCGATTCTCGATAATTTTGGAAGCATATCATGAAACATCGTCATCATCTAATCAAGTAAATTGAGGCCGAATGCGGGTTACACTTTGTAATGTAAAGTTCTGTGGGCAGATGTACTTTGAATCCTGGGGAAAACGAAGGTGTGGTTCGATATGTCCTGGACACCTATCCATTCGTGTCACTCTCTCCTCAGGTATTACTCCACTTTTTAAAATGATCTCTTCTGTACCTTTATATCAGGCCGTGACCACAGACGTTCTGTAAAGAAATTCATGCATGGGTGGTAGATATAAGTGCACTTTAGTAGCAAATTAGTGAATTTCATGCCGAAGGACTTCAAATACATACTTTACTTTTCAACGGTTTATTTTAAAAAAAAGTGTTTTGTCAGGAATGAATTCCAAAATAATTAGTTGTGTTGTAAGCCTTATGCTGGATTGCCCATTGACGAGATTGTGCATTGTGTTTCAGCACCCGCAGATCGGAGGGCCTGGTCTGGTTGGTGGCGAGGACGTATTTGATGGAGCAACGCACAGGTTTGTTAAATTCTGGGTGTTTTTATTAAATCATTTTCGGTGGGAAATTGGTTCTGGACTCTCTTGCAGGGCATTATTCAGTTGCCCATTGTAGGTCTTTGTGTGAAGTAGTATGCCTGAAGCAGCATCTGAATTTCCTTCAATCTGATGTTGCTCAATCATTATTTGTTTGCTTTGCGCAACAGACCATGGCTTCGGAAAGGAGAAGAACAATTGGTCCAACGATTCGACCCTGTGGGCCCTAGGGACACCATTGGTTTCTTTGTTGCGAAATTTTCCGTGGCTGCCCATTGAGGCTGTCTGTTCAATTCTTGACGATAACTCTAGAGAATTGTCGTGAAACATTTGTGATTACCATTCAATGAATCTGCGACTTCCACAAAATCTCATGTATGGTTTCCAGCAAAACGTTGGAAGCTTGCAACACTAAGCTAGTTCGAAATGAAGGTGAAATTTTTCACTTCCATAGCAAATTGTATGGTATCATAGTGTAGCAATAAAATTTTGTGGCTACCAAAGTCATGATAAAATAAGCCTTTCGGGCACTTATCTTATTGCGTAAGAAATAATCTATTTGGGATGATGGCTTACGCGGAAGTTTTTTAGTCCAGAATAATTTCTGGTCTGAACTGTCATGCCCCTAAAGCTTTTACTTCAATACATTAACTCGACAGGCCTAGGTCCACAAAGGTCCATGTTGCTTTCAAGCGAGCCCGACTTAGGTGATGCATGGTTGACGCTCACGTCATCGTGTTTGGTGGTTATCACATTCAAATTATCTCCAACGTCAATCACGTGGGGTTTTGAGTTGGATGCTGTAGAAATCGTCGAGTCGCAGACGAAGTATGATCCAAAGTAAACCTGTCAAGGACACACTGGATTGCATCAAGCTGCAAGCAAGCCTTTAGTCTGGTCGATGCGTGTAGCATATACCCTATCAGTGCTTGTTTGCAAGAGGAATAGATAAGGAATTACCTTTTTCACTTTCTCAAACTCCAAGCCCACATGAGGACCCGACCTGAAAGTAAACATTGTCTGCACCCCCACAACCTTGTCATAAAGTCATTGGCAATAACCTGGACTACTTCAACAACCGCTAGAATCTTACCACGAAATCTGGCTTCGAAAATTGATGGCAAAGAGATCCAAGTACATGAAGACCAAAGTGATACTATCTAGACTTGGCATCCAATGACTTCAGGATGACTAATTCTCATGTTGTAGATTAGCATCTAGACGTGTTCTCACCTTATTTGGTTCAACGTTTTCCAAGTCTGGCTTGTCCTGGTTTATAGTGGGCACCTGTCAAAAGAGGTAGCGCATGGATAAGGGTCTTGATTTTCAAGCAAGTCTTACAATGTTTCATCAAAATACTTTGCAGACCACCAAAAAAACTATAATTTCGTTACTTGGTTCATGGAATCATCGTAAGCTTGGAATCCATTTTTGATACCAAAATTTGTCGACCTGCGCATAGATTAAATTTTTCTATTCACCTTACACATCCCCCGATTCATGACATACGAAAAGTTCAAATGGGTCCCCATGTGCTCGATGGTGAACTGCCGCCACTTGTCTTCTTCAAAAGAAGGTGGTCCTCGAACGACGATGCTTTTGTCACAAGAAAGTTGACAAGTTCAGGTCATTTTTATTTGCACAGTTTCGCGGATTCCATGTAAATTCAATTTGCCCTGTATCTCACTACCCATACACTGACTACATTGCAACCATTCGTGCAAAGAAAAGTGAGTCAAGTCTGGACCTACTTTGGACGAAATCGATTCATAGGAAATGGGGCCGTGGTGAAATACGAGTTGACTTTATCCAGAGAAGCCTATACAGCACGAGATCCTCATCAGATGATAGACAGCAAGACTTATGTTCAAACACTGCTTTGTGAACTGATTGCACAACCAGAAAATAATTCCTCGACCACAACTAACTCAAGTTGCAATTGGTATAAGAGGTCACCTCCGATGCGAATAGGAATTGGCCGGTATTTACGAATCCGGTAACATATCCTTCTGGCGCATCTTCTGCTTGCCTGTTCTCCTTTGTGGCAGCTTGTGTATGAATGGAGCCAAGAATTAAAAAGGAATTCGATGTGTTGTGAAAAACTTCACTTCAGGATTCGATGCATACCAAGACTGGAGAATATAGTAGATGGTCAACTAGTAAAAGTGAGCTAATGACTCGGATTGAACTGATTGCATGACGCATAACATTCATTACAAATCCTTTACAGAAATCACACATAATTTGGTGGAGGAAAAGGGTCACCGCAATACTGGGATCAAATCGAACAAGACGTGCTGGTATATCCAAGTACTGAGTGAACCATGCTGCAGCCTCAGGCCCTTCGTCCACCCCCTGTCCCCTCCACAAAAACGACGTTGGTGGCTCAGCTTTCATCACATGCAGAAGAGAGATCAGGAAACTCATGAATTCAAGAGTAAAGCTCATGATTTTTTCATCACTGAAAACTCTTGAGATTTACAAGTATCCAGCAATCTTCATGTCTGGAGGAGCATTTGAAAAGAGGATTGGAAGACGATGATGCGGGCAAACATACCTGTCCTTCATAGACGCCCTTCAAAGTTGGCATTCCTACGTCCACAATATGGCCTCTCTCCCCCTGGCGTGCCTTCCCTGTGCTAGGGCATTTCCGCAGTGGCACATTCAATGCCTTCATGCCCGGTGCATTGATCTCTGCACCAATGAGTAAAATTTAGGTTTACAACTAAAAGCAGTACCACTTTCCATCAATTTTGAATACTTTCCCTAATGGTACTGCTGCCAGTTGCAGTACCCATATTAATTGCGAAGTAGAAACAAAATTTGCACCTAAGGTTGCGCTGGCTGGAACAGACTCCCCTCGCATGGCAATCGTAGGCAGTGAGGGCTGCACCAATGCAAGCTTGGGAGCTCTAGACATGGTAATTGCCCGTCCATTCTCGGCCTTTACCACCATCCATTCTCTATCGAATAAAAATCCTGAATTCAAGGAAGTGCATCATGTCTGTAATTCCTTAGTTAACAAGCATGAAAGTTTCAGACCTCAAACCAAGCTGCAAACCAAGCTGGAAATATAAATGCAGGGATGCACAACTGTGAGTGCAAACCTGTAAAGGATATTGCAGCGCTCGGCACAGACACGCCCCTGCAACCTTTCACAGGGTACACCACAATCTCCGCAATCGTATAGCCCGTGCCCATGGCTGATCCTCCTAAGGCAACCTCCAAAATCCAGTGGCCCTCGACGACACGTGCCGCTGCGAATTAAACCCACTCACGTCCCAATGGCGCTGCTGCAGCCTCTTGCATGCACACCCAATACTGCGTTCACCTCTGAATTGCAGCCCATCAAATTACACACCAGTTGCCGTTTGAGCCAAATGCAAAGATTCCCACGAGTACTCTGCACAAGTGGCAGTGCTTCTCGACATTCTCCAAAAGAGCTTTAAAGCAGTAGGTCTCGGAGATTCAACGTAGCATATTCAAACACATTCTACTACATTCTACCATGGACGAAAAACTTAAGAAGGTAAACGTAGGGCTTAGTGGCTTGATCCACTTTTCAATGTCCAGTCCATTTTCGATTGAGGAGCTAGCAAACATTTACAAAGCAATTGTTTAACTTCGTGTCCATTTCCAAGTCAAATTCCTTCTCCTAATTAGGTCTTGTGAGTAAATTCTCCAAATTCTTACTGCTGACATGGAATGATTTGGATTCAATCGTGGTGAGCAAGCAAAGAATTTGACACTGAGCGAGACTGGCTACAGATGGAAAGCTCCTGATGCGTGCAGCACACTCTTCTGACAATATTATATACCCAATTCCAATCAAATTCATAGGGAGAATTCAGGAATGTCGCGCAAGACTTCAATTCCTCATGAACGCTGTCGGAAATTCTAAATGAGTAGTGGGTCCCATCCATCTCAGGCATTTTCCTCTTCCATTGGTTGATTCTTCCTTGGTCGATACTCATCTTTTTATAGCGCCTCACAGTCCTTTCCGCGGATAACTATTCTTCTCCATCGCATTTTTCAAGCGCCACGCTAAATACTCCTCTATAGGTAAACTTCGAAAATTTCTATTTCATAATAGTGAAGGTTTGATATAATTCTAGTCTTTGGAGCTTTTCTATTCTAGAAGTTGTAATGTGAGGTGATGGCCCAAGTCTAAGAGTATCATTGTGATTTGTTGGTGAGGTAATCTATCAGTTTGATAATTTATTTTTAATTCTAATTTTGAGTGCTATTGCTGATAATGATCCAAATGACTGTTGTAGTGCCGATCCTTCAGCCCTTATGATTTGGAAATTACTAATATTCATAACAAATGTTTGTAACTAGTTGGATTTTTGTAAAATGCCATCTTTTTTGTTCTTCGATTGTGATTTTTTGTCAAAGCAAGGTTACTAATAATACTTCCATATTCTCATCAATATTTACTTCTAAGTTACAACTTTTTGATGATCTATTGAGTTCAATGGCTATACCATAAAGTACTTCCTGCTTTGATGGTGGTCATTGTAGCAAGTTTTATACAGTTCAAAGTGGATTTCATTCTAGGATCTATGATTCCTAATTCAATTGTGAGCTAGAAACAAAAGGATTTAAAGATATTTGGTGCAAGGCTTTTTGGACTAGATTAGAAGCAAAGGAATTTATGTTGAATTAGCTTTGTTTACTACCTAGTTATATTATATATTTATTATATTTAATCTTTCTTTAATTTTTTTAAATAAAGAATATCCAAGTGGTTTGTGAAAGTATCTACTACTTATTCTAATATTAATACATATTAGATATTGATTTCTCTTGATTGAATCTTTTTTCTAATAAAGTGATATTGTGTTGTTATGTATTTTGTTTTTGGATTTATTCCTAAATTTGTAGCTATTTTAATATTTCTAATATTATCATAATATATAACTACTTATTCTATCTCAACTTATAAGTTTTTAAGTAACATGGTAAGTCATAAAGCTTTTCTAAATGCATCAACTAATGCTCTATATTTTGCTTCTAATAAATAGAAGTATGTAATGGGTTGTTTCTTTCATGACCAAGAAATAGATGTGATTACAATGCTAAATACAAGTCTAATGGTGGATTGAGCTTGTTTTATATCTTCCACACAAATAGAGTCGACATATCCTAAAAGTTTGGTCAAATTATTAATTTAATATAGGACTCTAAGGTCTTTTATATTTTTGATGTAATGAAATATTTTTTTACAACAAATAAATGAGATTTTTGAGGTCTTGGCATGAATTGACTAATTATACTTGTAGCAAATTAGATGTCAAGGCGAGTACAAATTAAATACAGGTATTTTCTTATAATACTATAATATTATGTTGGATCTATTTTTTCTACTTTCATATCAATTTTGAGCTTTTTTTTCTCATCCATTGAAGTTGTTGCTAGTATATAATTTTTTATTCCAAAATTTACAAAAATATTTTGTATATGTGCCTTTTATATCATAAATATTCTTTCTTTCACTAATATGCATTCAAATTTTAGATAGAGAATGACCTTTATTTTTGATAATTTTGACATTTCAAATTTATTATATAATTTTTATTTGAATTTAATCATGTTTTCTCCACAATTGCTATTCATGAGAAAATCATCTACATATAAGGCAATGAGAATGATTTTTCCTTGTGATAATCTGGAATATAGATTGTGATCTCTTTTACCTTGTTAAAAATTAACTTCTTTAAAATATGAATCTATTTTTTTATATCATAGATAAAGTACTTGTCTTAATCCATATAATGTCTTTAATAATCTACAAACTAAGTGTTCTTTTTTTAATATTTTAAAATCTTAAAGTTGAGTGACATATACTTCTTTTTTTAATTTTCTATAAAAAAATATAGTTTTGACGTTCATATGACATTATTTCCAATATTTTTGATCTATAATTAAAATCATAGCCCTAATTGTTACTTATTTAATGATAGGTACAAATATTTATTTACAATTGATTCTTTCTATTTGTTCAAAGCTTTGGATTACTAATCTAACTTTATACTTTTGTAAAGATCCATTTATCTTAAGTTTTGCTTTGTAGATCCATTTAGTAGGGATAGCTAATTTATTTGATGGAAGATTTGTAAGATGCCATATCTGATTTTTATATATATATTTTATTTCTTATATTATGACTTGCATCCAATCTTAGTGTGTTGAGGCCTCTTAATATGTTGTTGCTTATACATCTAGAATTTTCATAAAACCACTAAAAAAAAATCACACAACTAGTCTAGATGGTGGATTTGTGGGCCAATCTTTATCATAGTTGATGCAATATATGTTGGACTTGGTGAGTTTTGATTAGAAATAAGTAAATCAAATGCTACAAGGAAAAAAAATTTGTTATTTGTTTTAAAGTTCGGCCATTCATCAATTTTTTCTTTCAAGGTATAATTAAAGTTTGTATTTATTTGAGTGGAATTTTTTATATCAGTAGATGGATCTAATGACTAAGATGAGGATAATATTCAATAATAAATAGTCCATTTCTAAATACTATTGTTTACTTTGCTACAGAAACTTCTACAATTTTGAATAACTCTAGTTGTAGTTGCCAATGATGTGGAATCAATGTAATGAAAAAAAAATGATAGAGAGGCAGTATAATAGATATCCTTTAAAATTTTGATGATAGTGTATTTGGTGGATAGTAATTTTGGCAAGTTTAGAGTAGCGTCATTGATTTTACACAGTGCACAATAGGAGTTTATTTTAAAATTGAGGTGCTTACTTATTACATATCCTAGCTTGCTGTTTAGTGTGATTTTTTTAAAATTTAAAAATTTCGATTTTTTAAAAATAACATCTTTGGATACAATATTTTTTTGTAGATGTAGATATATTTAATATGCTTTGATTTGTTTGTCATAGCTGACAAAATTGCTAGCTATTGATCTCTGTTGAAGTTTGTTTCTTGATTAATAATTTATATGCATGTACAACAAATAGCTAAAAACTTTTAATTGATTGAGATGAGATTTGGTACATGAAAAAATTTCTTCTAGTGATTTTTTGAGATTTTTTACTTAGATAAGTAATCTATTTAATAAATATATTGTTATTTTTACTACTTTATGTCATAAATAGGTAAATAATTTTTTTAATAGTAACATATATTAAATTTTTTTTAGAACAATATGATTTCTTCTTTCTACCCATCCATTCTATTGAGGTGTGTAGAATTGCATGTATTGTCAAATAATTCCATTTTTTAAACAACAATCTAAAAATTCTTATAAAAAAAATTCTCTTTTATTGTCTATTCTTAATTATTTGATGAATTTTTCTATTTTTTTTTTCTATCATAACTTTGAATTCTATAAATTTGTTGAAAATTTGTTTCTTGTTATTAACAAAATATATCCACATTTTTTTAATGTGATTATGAACAAAAAAAAGGAAATATTTGGTACTTGATAATAATGCGATAAGCAAAAGGCCGCACAAATTTACATGAATTAATTCCAAGATCTCTTTTGATCTACTAGTGCTAGTTCTAGATATTATTTTGTGTGTTTATTTTTCTTCTAGGTAATGCTGATACATTATTGATTTTGTTATAAATATTTGTGTGTGCTTAGAATTTGATATCATTAGAATAAATTATTCAATATGGCTGAGGCAACAATACCACAAGTAAATTGTTATAACTTTGAATATTTGTTTAATAGTTGTAACATATTTGAGCATTGCTTACATCACTTTGATGGTGGTATCTGATTTTGTTCTATTTGATTTGTTGTTTTGATCAATAATTGTATAGGATTTTTGGTCTAGAGTTTCTATAGATGATAGTGTTGGAGTACTCATTCTATTTACTAATTTTTTTAGGATTAAGCAAATATTTTGTACTGACTCTTTATATTCAAAGTTTAGTTTATACAGTTGTGATTTCTCATCCCAGTAGCCTAATATCATTGATTGTAGTAGATTTGATTGAAACAATGCTAAGCACTTTTTTCTTCCTAAAATCAATAATTGATTTGTGTTTTGCATATATTGTCATATTAACGATAGATTCTATTTCAAATCCAATACATAAAAAATGTCTCTTGGATTGTTTATTTTTTTATTTGAAATAAGTATATCTACATCATCATGTTTTTTTAAAAAGTGTATTTTACCATCCGTAGTGGCAACTATATACTTATGAAATAGTCTTTTTAGGTTTGAAAAAACTTCATGATCTCTAGAAAAATGCTTTGAGGTACTACTATCTATAATTTATTCTTTATAATGAAAGGATGCTATAGAGAGTACTTATGATTCCTTTTGTATTTTATCTAGAATTGAGAAGTGATTACTAAAAATTTCTTTTGCATAATTTACTTTAAATTGATACTGGTTTTTTTATATATATATATATAACAAAATCTAGCTATATATCTAAATTTGTCATACTAGTGACATATTTATTCTTTGCATCAATCTCCAAAAGACTTATATATTGATCAATTTTGAAATATTATTGTCCAAAACAAGATGTTGGATAAACTTTAGGCTATATATCAAAATATTATCCATTTTTTTTCATCAATGTTGTTTCTGATCTTAAATAAAAATATTTTTTATTTTGATTTACTTAAAAATTCATTTCAATTACCTCTATATATAATCACCTTGCCAAGTTTGTAAAAGCCGAAGTGACTTTTTAAAATTAGAGTATTCTTATA